ATCGCAATTTTGATAATGACTAATTAAATTGTGTACTACACGTGAGATACAGAGGAGTGAAATTGCCTATATTTGCCACCTTTGGCACATTAATCTTAATTTTCATCAATATTAGATATTCATGGTATTCTGTAATTTTGTATCATTTAATCCATTATCACGATAATATCGCTAATATTCAATATATCGCCCACCCCTAATTGGCTGTTGGTGCTCTTTATCATACACCACCTGGAAAAAAAATAATTGTGAAAGCGATTCCAATGATGTTGTTTCTCTGTGCCATTATTGTTATATTTATATTAGTATGTGTGTACTCTGCTAGTCTTTTAAATTTAGAATGATTTTTACAAATATGTCTTTATTGCTATCATTATAGTTACCGTCCTTTGTGTGAACAGGCCTTTATTGATATTGATTTTAGAGCACAGATTGTGCTGAGATTTTGTATGTGGTATGCTGGGTGTAAGACGTATTTCACACAGCTATAAATATGTATTTTTCTGATAAAGGTTTAATATTGCAGTTAGTTCTGTGTAGCTACTGTAGGGTAGTCGTCAACACCTTGATGGCAAAGGCTCATTAAGCCATAAATACCAGCTGATGTGTCATGTGTGCAATATTGGGAGTAGTTCAAAACCCAAATATTCCCTCCAGTTTAACAGGTTTGTGTTGACTGCATTCCATGCCACCATGTCAGTGGAAAACAGCGGTGGTCAGGTCAACTCAATCTGTTTCTTTTTCTGAGTGAAGTTTTCCAGGCCCCATCTATAGCAAATTAGCTTTTCACCTTGTCATGGTTGACACACTGACAAAACAAATAAATAGGCAAGTATCAAAGTCTCTGTGATGAATATTTTCAGACTTTTCAGTTTATCTTCTCAAGCTTGGTGGTCTACGGTTATGAGAAGCTGCCCTTTTGGCTGTTCCAGACCTCCAGGGACAACAAATGAAGTAATGTTGCAGTTTGGTTGCTTTAATATCGATTCGACATTGCCTAAATGAAAACCTTGCTAAAAATGTTCAAGGTCTTTACAGTAAAATCACTTTAGCCCATTCCCAATTCATCTCGCAGCACTGTTACACTTCTGGAGTGACACAACCCTCGGTTTGAATAATTTATTACACCTGTAGGTTGAGTAACACCACTGAGATCCATCAGCCTGTATCTGAAAGCTGCAAAATGCTGCCTTCGCAAACATAGCTGTCTATGGCCTCCCTTAATCTTGTGTCTCTTAGTGGCGAGCTAAGCTAGGATGTCAAAGGAAGCAGACGGAGGAATAAAGTATAATAACTATAAAATGTATACTAGAATACATGATCTATTAAAATGACACAGCTACTTTTGAATGGACATTGATGGATTTTTGCCTAAAACTAAAACTTTTTTTTTTTAATGTTTTGGTTATTAAAATAAAGCTGAAATAAATTAATATAATTATTAGATGAAACATGAAAAACTGTTGTCTTGTCAACTAGCTGAAATAAGTTTAGGATGAAGTACTAAAATGACAAAAAATGACAAAATGAATTAAAACTATATATGCATAAGCAATTTCTAAAGCACATACAGCAAGCGAGGCTGACCTAAGTGCTGATCAACAACATATAAATAAATAATTCAGTTAATTAATAAAGACTCAAATAAACACACAAAACAAGATGTTATATGTTAAAACCCAGAGAAAATAAGTTTTAAGAGAAGATTTAATGCATTAACTAACATTTAATTTGTATTTATTAATATTTGTTAACGTTAGTTAATAAAAATACAAATGTTCATTGTTTGTTCATGATAGCTTAAGTCAATTAAATAATAGACACAACTTTTGATTTTAATAAATGTTACATTAAATTAACTGAGATAAATTATATTAAAGGGATAGTTCACCCAAAAATAAAAATGTGATGTTTATCTGCTTACCCCCGGGGCATCCAAGATGTAGGTGACTTTGTTTCTTCAGTAGAACACAAACAAAGAGTTTTAACTCAAACTGTTGCAGTCTGTCAGTCATATAATGGCAGTCAATGGGCTCCAGGGCTTTGAGAGTAAAAAAAAACATACAAAGACAAAACCAAATTTAACCCTGCGGCTCGTGACGATACATTGAGGTCTTAAGACACGAAACGATCGGTCTGTGCAAGAAACTGAACAGTATTTATATCATTTTTTTAGATCATCACAGTGCCAGTGAACACGTCCGCAATCTCTCTGCACTATGTAAATAATGTGTGACGTATACGCGCGGCAGATCGCTTCCGCACATGCGTCTACTATCATAGATAAGTATAGATTCCCTATTCAACCGCTCCAGATACGTTGATGCGTCCGCCATTTTGGAACGTATCGCGGCCCATAGAAACAGTCACTAATGAGGCATCTACTTATATATACATCAAATTTTCATATGTGGGTGAACTATCCCTTGAACTGAGATTAATTAATGCTTTAAAACTATTTTTTCATTGTTCGTTCGTGTTCACAAATAAAGTGAACTAATGTTAACAAATAGAACCTTATTATAAAGTGTTACTAAAAAAGTTAGTTCATAATAGATTAATAAATACTATTAGTATATAAATAAATTATACTCAAATAACACTGCTGATATTGGTGTGTTTACACTTTCTACCAGCAGGGTTAAAGCTAGTTTGATTATTCTAGTCAGTTACACTTTGACAACCATCACAGGTCACAGGTCAATTGAACAGAACACACTAGGGCTGATGAGTAAAGTATGAGGGTGAAAATAAAGATATATACCTGACCCCGAAATGTCTCTTGATGGAGAAGGTCAAATTTAGAAGTGAAAAATATTAGATGACCATGATGGTTTGATTAGATTGAAGGCAGAAAACATCTGGAACACAACTACACACACATGTACTACAAACCAGAGAGGAAATTACATCTGTTGAACAATAATTTGTAGTGGAAAGTTTTTCCTCTTTTATTGTCTTTTTTCCTCTCCACTTTTCCTCTCTGATGGATGGTAAAATGTGCAGGTGTGGGTTTTCTTTGATATGCGAGTCCACGTGTTTCATTCAGAGGGTTCTTGGCTGCCTTTGGAAGAAACCGTCAAAGCCAGAGCCTCTCATTTTTCAGAGATCGTCCAGGTCTCTGACTGAAGGCGTTGTCTAGATCAGGCAGGGTTTATAATCAACACAAGTGATTAGATGAAATTGGCACAGCTGATAAAAACATCAGGTCCGTCTGCTCTCATTGGATTCGGACAGTGCGCTCTCTGGAGTTCATTCATTAATTAATTGAATGGGAAATTGAGAGAGGCATCCATAATGATAATAATAAAAAGCACAAGGCCAGATTTCACATGTCGCAATCAAGAATCGTATTGTTGCTCTGTTTTTGAAGCCAACCAACTGATGTAGGTGGCATTTTCATTTGAAACATGAGATCTGCTGTGTTGGATTACTCATAATTACTCTAGTATAATCAATATTGTGCAGTTTTTTATCTTGATTGCGCTTAAAGCTTAATGAATACCGTAAGGACCGAAATGAGGACATTGATCAACAATGATGAGCGAGTCTGTCAAAAGCTCCAGCTATTACAAGAAAGGTATGTGACCACAGAGAAATGATGGTAAATTAATGAACTCATAAACTAATCAAGCATAAACTCATAAAATAAATATCATTATATTTCTCTGCAACAAGCAGACCTTAATTAAACAAATCAGTGGTTTTCATATGTTGTGTCACGAACCAAAATGAGTCACTGTCTGATTAGCAGGGGAAAGCAATGCTGAATATAAGTAATACAATACAAACTATATAAGCAAGCATAGTTATAATAGACACATTAATTGTCTTTTAAATAGGAGGAGAAAATATTTGACTAATATTAATTACGAAAATTGGCCCAGGTTTTTGTATTATGTTAATAATTTTACATATGGCTGGATCTATGCA